GTCGACCGCCCTGAAGCTGCTGTATCGCGCCCGCTACCTCATGTTGTTGGTTTCTGGGGAGGACCACCCAGAGATGGCACTGCTAGACGTGAGTGCAGTCTTTACTTGAGATCTATATAAGCCACCAACTGCTTCTATAGTAATGCATCGATGCTGATAAATCCTTAAGCAGGAAAAAGACGTAACACTAATACTGTTGCCCTTATTCTTGGCTCTCGTTCCACAGAGTAACATTGGGCTGGTGCTACATGGAGTGATGGAGTACGATTTATCGCTGAGATTCCTGGAGAACGCCTTGACTATCAACACAAAGTACCACGGACCCCGGTCCCTTAAAGTGGCCCTCAGGTGGGGAGGGATTGATCGTCCATATCCATATACTAGTTATAATACTGGCTGACATGATGATTTACATTATGCACGGCTTGTGTTTGTTTCTCAGTCATCATTTGGTTGCGAGGGTTTACGAGAGCAAGGCCGAGTTCCGCTCAGCGCTGCAGCACGAGAAGGAGGGTTACACCATTTACAAGAACCAGGTGGGCCCCGCACGACTCTATGCTGACGGGAACTGACACGTGGTCAGTTATGGTGAAATGACATCTTAAATATTCGTTCTTACTCTTCTCAGATGGGCGAGGCACACGAGAAGACCAAGGAGAGCTCAGAGTTCCTGAAGTATCTCACCCAGCAGGCCGTAGCTCTGCAGAGAACCATGAATGAGATCTACAAGAACGGCTCCAACGCCAGCATCACGCCCCTCAAGGTGACTGCTCTGATTCAGGAAGTGTTTTTGTGCTTCTGTCTGTTTCATCTCCACCGCTCGGCAGTGATGCTATGTGTTTTTATTGTTTTTATTTCCTCTTGTTTTCCAGTTCACTGCTCCCAGCATGGCCAGTGTGCTGGAACAGCTCAACATTATCAACGGCATCATCTTTATACCGCTCAGGTACGTAATGCCTTTAACCCCTGCAGGGAGGTAATATTTATAATGTGTTTATTATGAACAGAAATCTGCCATTGTAAACCATGGTAGGAATACTGCAGCGATATTATATTGGATTTTATTACCTTATTTTAAGAAACTATCCCTGACAATCGCTTTACAGACAAATTCAGCCCGTAATGATGACTGTGTGTAAAATGTAATTTTAAAGTTGACTTTAGGATTAGTACATTGTAATAGATTGGAGACACAAGTGACAACAACAGCTATGAGTTAGGGGATAAATAAAAGAACAAAAATTACAAATGGTCAAACGGAAATTTCCTCTACAGGAGTTCAATTTCTTTTTTGTATTTCATTACAGCCAAAAGGATCTGGAGAACCTGAAAGCGGAGGTTCAGAGGCGGCAGCAGCTGCAGGAGCTGGGAAAGATTGAGGAGCCCACTGAGGACAGGCCACTGGAACTAGAGGACAAAATTCCCATTGATTAATGTATACAAGCCCGCAACACAGATACTTTCTGCTATGGGGGCAGGGAGAGGCCGTGACGCAACAGCCACGTCACTGAGCCTGTGGACCCGAGAACCGAGCGGTCTAAATCAGCATTGAGATAAACAGGGAGGGATGGGTCAGCGCAGTCCAGACAACAAATGGCATCATGTGTAGGACAGTGGATACAGAGCGGGAGTTTTCCTACGAGGTAGGGAGGGAGGTAGGAGAAAGAACAAACATAGAATCGATGTAACGTGCAATCTGACAAAAACACCCCGGCCCAAGAAGTCACTCAAGGTGTTGGCTTCCAAGAAATATGATTGCACATGAAAGAATGGTCGCAGCCGGGGGAGTGACACCAAGGATGACCGTGACATTGTATACCAGAGCCTTATCCATTGCATCATATTCCCCCAAAATAATGCTTCTTCTCAGCTCAAACCTCCCACAGCACTGTTAGCCCAGGACCATATTTTTGCCCCGCCATTCCTAAAGGGCCTCAAAGACCCCCAAAGACCCCCCGGGCATGTAGCCACCCTCCCGCCCTCCAACGGTGCTCTGAATGATAAAGCGCCTACTCTGTCCTAGAACTCAGGGGTACTTTCTACTGTGCACTAACACCCGAATACAGTCACTAAATTGAAGGTTTCCCAAGTGGAGCTTAAGAATGTAAATTCCCTTCTTAGTGGCTTCTTTGAGCCACTCTGTAGCAGACACCCATCACTCTTGCACTCTTGGTTCATTAATTTAATCGTTCTGTCCTTTGTATTTACGACATCCGGTGGGTGCCTGCTGTGTCTTACGGTTCCTGTTTCTCCAAGCAAGCCAAACAATACAGTGACACGTTAGCGAGCATTCAACAGGTTTGATTACATTTGCTGGAAAAAAAATGTTTTCTTTAGTAAGCAAAATGGAGTTTGTAAAAGTGCACAGGAGAAGTATGAATGTGTTTTAGGCCTGTTTATCATCAATTAAATTAAGCCATGTTTGTTTTATAGAAAATGTATAGAAGTGGGGAAAAAAAAAGATGTATAAATCTCTATGGAATTTAGACCGGTACATGATTGATGTTTATGGAAAACGCAGATATAAAACGTCCACCTTTTAAGCAGTAAATGTATCCATCTATATACTAGCTGTGTTCAATCTTCTATTTTTACACATTGAAAGAGTGTGTGCGTGTGCGTGTGCTCGTTCGTTCGTTCGTTCCAACAGAAAATCTATTGGCCAGGGCTGTCGCTGCTTTTGCTGCTGCATAGTTTGGATAGAGGCTAAGCGAACATTGACTTTCCAAATGTTTTATTTTTCTACGCATTGTAAACCTGTTGGATGGGTGATGCCTCTTTTCTTAACGCATTCATGGTCACCGATGTTGTAAATCTGTTTATGTATGAATTGGTACTGAAATGAACCTCTTGTCATCACTGGACAGGTGCTCAGCATTGGCAGTAGTGACTGATTTGTTTTTTGTTTCCCCCATTATTGGGTTTAGCTTTTCATGTGTAACGAAGAGATAAGAAAAAAAATTAAGTAGCCAGCAGTGTCTGTTCATTTAGCAATATTTAGTGCACTTTCTCATGCTGTTTGGATGTGTGAAGACGACCACGGCACCACCAAAAGTGGACGAAAGAAGCGCTGCTTCAATGTGATGTACCAAAAAGAGGCTGATAAGGTTTGTTTGCGCTTGTATACATTGCAATGTATCCCTCCCATGGCAATTTGTTACTTAATTGTTGCCGTGTCTAAATGTATGTGATTAAAGCAATAGAGAGATGGTGCTGGAACTTTTACTTGGAACAAGTTGTGTGAGATTGACTACTCGCTGTACCGGCTTAAAATAAGGGAGCTGTATAAAAAGAAAACAAAGGGTGAGCTTTTTAGACTCTTTTTTTTATTTTTATTAGTGATCTTTCCTGATTGTGCTCCTTAAACATGTCTTGACATCAATAGCACAGAGTGGTGTGTATTGTACCTATTAATTATAATTATTATGCTTCTGAATGGTAACTAGGGTGATAACAGTTAATAACTTTACGTTTCTCATTTTCTTAAAATATTGTTTTTTCAGTTTCCTTATTGGCAGTTTTTTGTTTTTTTTCACCCTGTTACCCACGTCTAACTCAACAATACCAACATTGTCCACAAGGTGGCGCACTAACATTAGTCTGGTGAAGGACGTGGATTGACATGTATTGTCCACAAATATGCACATGCTTCAGTTGACGATGACAAATTTAAATAAGGGAATCTTTTGCATTTTCCCCCTCAGATTATTAGGAATAAAGCCCAAAATGACTGCTTCCTGTTGAGCATTTTCTGAACCTGTTAGTCCCTCCAGCTGGAAGTCCATTGTTTGGGAATTTTAATTGTTAAAGATATAGAAGAAACTCACAGAGAATGATCAAACTCTTCATCTGCAGAGATACTGTTTCTCTTTTAACGTGGTGCTGCAGATTAGTAATATCACTCCACTAGAGTTCAGTGTTAATATTTCTGTTTTGGATAGAGTAGCTGTTTAATGTTTGAGATGTTATAGAGATGTTATTAAGACGTAAGCATCAGAACTGGAAAAAAAACAAGACCTATAGTGGAATAATAAATGAAGTGTATTCTTTAACACAATTTGTATACACCAGTATACCATTTGCAGTTACTTTACAATCTGACTGCCTGAAATACAAAACAAGTGTGAAATATGTATATTAACTGAAGTTACATAGAAATACATATAAATATTGCTTTAATTTAAAGATATGAATATCCTGTACAGAATAACTATTAAAGTTGGTGGTGGTGGTGGTGGTGGGGGGGGGGTAATGTCTCCCCCAAAATGTTCTGCACTTTGCTGCCCAGTGTTGCATTTGTTGTCTGAAATGATTGTTTGAAAGTTGTATGCTTTCTTAGCTGATAAAATCTCTTCTGGTCAAAGGCTTCGTAGGCCGAGTGGTTGACTCCACTTCCTCTGATGATGTGTGGTGTTTGTGTGTTCGTTACAAAATAATCATATTTTGGTTTGTGTATGCTTTTATATTAAAATGAATACAATAAAACTAGTAAAAGCGTTGTTTGGGATTCTGATAACTCATCAAATAACGAGATATTTTACTTCAGTAACAGTAATAGCAACGTTAACGTGTTTCCTTTTAAGTATCACAAGCAGAAGTACTCATTAGGTGGCAGAATGGGTCATGTCAGTCTGTAGTTTTGTATTATTACTGATGCATTACCGTATGAACAATATGTTTTTAATTTTGCTGGCTGAGACGAAGATGTTTAGCACCTTCCTACCATAAACGGTCAGATATATAGTAGTTTAATCAATACATTCAACATAGTGTAATTTGTCATCTTTTTGCATGTACAACATTAGATTTAACAATAGCAAGTCTCTTAATGACTCATACAACGCTTCAATTATTCGTATATATAAATACATTCATGCTATTCTACATGTACGGATGCCGAGAAGTCGTGTAAGAGTTAAAAGTCAAAAAACGTATAAAGCATCCAAAGGGATTTTCTCCTGCTATTAAGGGCGTGCGCGCCCCTGCCATACTGTGAACGCGAGCTTCATGCGCGCTCTCGTGCTGAAGGCGAATGCAGCAGCCAACGAAAAAACAAGCAGAGACAAGACGGGCACAGTTTACCTCCACATCACAAGATCTTATTTGGAGCGGAGATTTCACGCCCTGTCGGGTCGTGTTACCGTTAAAGACGGTTGAGGATATTCACGGGCAGAAACAATAGGGTGAGTTCAAGTGGTTTTCAATTGCGAAGCCGGTCAGGGCTCGAAGGAATCCGGCTTTTAGGTGGAGAAAATGACGATGTGGCTGTAATGTGTGCACCTCCTTTTTATGTCTCAAAATGGCGGATAGGCCGCTTGGACTGGAGCAGCAGGTACCTTGTCAGTTCATCCTTGTGTCCAGATAAGCAATGTTGTGCACTTAACTGTCATTCAAGTCGGTCGTGGTCAGCAACGGTATGAGTTAATTGAACTTGAAGGCATAGCACGAGCTCGTGAGTGTTCGTTAGAGTGAATGTACGGGCTAACTTTGGGACTGCATCGTCTGGGAGGCTAACTCGGCTAACGTTAACTTTAGCTGACGATAACATAGTTAACGTTAACATTAGCTGACAATGACATAGTTAACGTTAACATTAGCTGACGATAACATAGTTAACATTAGCTGACGATAAC